AGAGAAGCAAAGCATCTGTAGGGCCAGTTCCACAATTGCTTCTAGGAATTGTGAGATTAACTGTACCTACTGTGTGTAGCATTCTTACATGCCTTTGCAACCTCCTACAAACGAAAAATCTTTGATTATATGGAAAAGTAGCATGTTTAGAAAAAGGAACTAGGAAAGCAAGAAACAAATACTCAGAACAAAGATCTCAGAAGAGAGAAGCAACCATAGAGTCAGCTACCGTAACACTGTCTCCTTTGTTTGGCTGATGTCCAGTTTCCAATGGGGGGGATGGTGGTTAAAATGGTAATGACCAAAGTGTAGGAAGAACGGAGCATTCCTCAGACAAAGAAGTGTTACCATGACCAAACTCAGGCTGATTTGGGACATTAGTTTATTGTGAGACTCCTGAGTTGTTCTTAAATGCTGCTTGCTAGGAGGGCAGAAGATAAGTAGAACTAGTTCCCTCCCATCACCAGGCTTAGGCTACCCACTCGCAACCCAACAATTCTGGCTTCCTGCTTCGGCCTCAGGGACGCAGAAGTAGGTTACATGGGTTATGTAATGTTACCTTAGCGTTGTTGAAGGAACGCGTGCATGACTAAGTAATGCAGTTCCCTTGGTCCTTTTACATTTGCTCTGATAAATTTGTATTCTGAATGAAATTCTGCGTGAAGTGAAATGATACAGAGTTGGAGACAGGGAGGGATGCAGATCGCAGAAACCCTTCCTTCTCTCCCACATAGATGCCAATATCTGTGGGCAAGAAGAGTGACAACTAGGAACAAAGAGAACGTTTGTATCTGCCTCAGTAGAGAGCACTGAAATTGAGTTTTAGAATCTGCTGAACCACTTTACTCCATAACTTTTCATTATAGGACATTATGTCCCTACAAAGTGGCCCCAGTAATTGTATTTTTAAAAATATTTAAGGAGAATTATAATAAAAGCAGTTTTATGTAAGATTTGTCTATTCCAATTTTTATTTATAAAAAATTGCCTAAATATTCAATATGCCATGTATTCTTAAAATACTTGAAAAATACTGAGGGCACAAGAAAGTCATTGAAAATATGAGAGTTTGCAAAATTAGATTTGTTTCTATTAATTTTCTAATTAAATAAAGGTGAAACTCATCAGTTTTATTCCAGAGGAAAAAAACATAAAGAAGGGAAAATGAAGGCAAGGAAGGAGGGGGGGAGAGAAGAAAAGGAAACGAGGGAAGGACAGAAGGAAGAAAACAAGAAACAGGCATTTATTGAGCACCCATTATGATTCAGAACCATGTGAGGCACTTCTATTAAGCATTCTCTCTCTTTTGTTCGTGTAATCCTCACTACTACTCTATGGACCCCATTTTATTTCTTGAGGAGAAAGCAATAAATTCAGTCATATTAAGTTTGACATTTATGACATGACATAGATGCTAGGAAGGCCACATAAATCCTCCCACAAAAATTGGCACAGATACTACTCTATAGGAATTTTCTTTCAAAAGCCTGTTTTTGATCCATAACCATTACATTTCCTGGCACTGGACTTTGCTCTGGCCCTGGAAACGGGAAGCTCTGTAGATTGGCTCCGATCCATAGTAAGTGATGAGTTTGGCTCTTTGCAGTTAAGAGCAGGATTCTGTCTGCTTTGGGAACATTACCTGGGTTCATGTATACTGCTGTTACAAGGAACAAGCCTGAGTTAGAGTTTTCCTGGATGATCTTCAGGTAGGTTTTTTTTTTGTTTTTTTTTTTAAAGGAATAATCTGATGCCTTTTAACCTTGGTCTGGAAGTGGTTCAAAAAGAGCAATAGAAAGAAAAACTGGAGGGGTGCCTGGATGGCTCAGTTGGTTAAGCGTCTGCCTTGGGCTCAAGTCATGATCTCAGGGTCTTAGGATCTCAGCAGGGAGCCTGCTTCTCCCTCTCCCCTGCCCCTACTCCTGTTTTCTCTCTCTCAGATAAATAAAATCTAAAAAAAAAAAGAGAGAGAGAAAGAGAGAGAAAGAAAGAAAAAGAAAGAGAGAGAGAAAGAGAGAAAGAAGGAAAGAAAGAAAGAAAAAAGAAAAAGAAGGAAAGACAGGAGCCATTTGCTGTGTAATTGTAGGAGAAACTTTATGATGATTTCTGACTATTTCCAGTGCTTAGAAACAGGACAAAACATGGAGTGTCATAGCACCTCTTATCCAGGTAGCTTGAAATTAGTCTGCTGCCTTTCTATAATTTTCTTGGTTCCCTTTGCAACTACATCGTGAGGTCTTAAACTACTCCACTCTCCCTAAGAAGTCCCAGTGTTAGGTACCTGTTAGTAAGCAAGAGTTTCAGCTCACAGTTAATTACATAGAGTTTTAAAGCAGTCTGCCAGTCAAACAACAGGCACCATCTGCATTTCCTGTGAACAGTTATTAGATGAACTTCAAAAGATTACTAGGTAATCAAGATTAATGGCAGATTCACTGAAATAAAAAAAATTGTGTATATTCTTCACTATCTTCATTTTGTTAGGTCTTCATCGATGTATGTATCTGAGGCAGTTTGCTTTGGCTATGGCAGGTTCTGTGGTCACCAGTCTCCGGCTCACAGGTGTGAAAGGTAGCAAAAGGGCAGAAAGATGGACGGAGAAGAGGGAAAATGAGACTAGAAAAAGAGCACGGCTAAGTGGATAAAAGGAGACATGGGAGCATCTCAAATCTGAAATTAACTTCTTTTCTTGACTGAATTAGTCACAGGATTATGACTGTCAAAGAAGTAGGTAAAAATGACGAAGCGTCTGTAGCAAATTGTTTTAAGAGAATAACAATGCAGATAGCAATATTTATAGGCTGTTTTTGAAGGTAGAGCCCTGCATATAGCACTGACATTTTTTTATCCTTATTAGTCTATTATAATTCATTGATAGATTGCAACTCAAAAAAATATGTTTGGAGCTGTTTACCCCTTGGATATGCATGTTCAGAACAGTCTGATAAAAATAATAAATTAGTCTTCAATGTTTATCTTATATTTGGGACTCGAAATACGTGGCCATCTTCTGCTGCTACTAAATGGGGCTTGCTGCGTAGTTATGTCGGCTTCCTCCCACAGCTCCAGCACCCAAGCAGCTATTGACTCTGGGGGCACTGTGCTCATAATTAGCAGTAGCCGCCACCTGGTAGTGTAACACATTCCAGTCACGGCCTAGAAAACTGAAGAGCTAGACTTCTAATAGACAATTATCTTTGATGGTGATTCAAACATTTTAAATATTCTTTTCCACCCACTAAAAAATATCAGTCTGTCTTTTTTTAATTTCTTTTTTTTTAAAGTAGGCTTTACACCCAACATGGGGCTTGAACTCACGACCCCGAGATCAAGAGTCACACACTCCCCTGACCACGCCAGCTAGGTGCCCCATATGACCTTCTTAATAAAAATTATTTTTAGTAGAGGGGCGCCTGGGTGGCTCAGTCGTTAAGCATCTGCCTTCGGCTCAGGTCATGATCCCAGGGTCCTGGGATCGAGCCCCACATCAGGCTCCCAGCTCCACGGGATGCCTGCCTCTCCCTCTCCTACTCCCCCTGCTTGTGGTCCCTCTCTTGCTGTGTCTCTCTCTGTCAAATAAATAAAATCTTAAAGAATATATATATATATATACATTTTTAGTAGAAGTCAGACCAAGATTTTTTAAAGGAAAAACTAGGGAAAATGTTTAAATTTCTCAAACTATTTTGCATACCCTATGTCATTTAATCTTTGTAACAACCCTTTAAATAGCCTCATTTTAATGTAAATAAACTAAGTCTCAGAAATTTTAGATGACTTATAACAGTTACCAATCTGATATTTTACGTTGCATCTTCAGGGGCGCCTGGGTGGCTCCGTCGATTGAGCGTCCAACTCTTGATTTCAGCTCAGGTCATGATCTCAGGGTCCTGAGATGGAGCCCCGTGTGGGGCTCTGTGCTGGGCGTGGGGCCTGCTTAAAATTCTCTCTCTCCCTCTGCCCCTGCCAACTGCACGCATGCGCCATCTAAATAAATAAATAAATACTAAATAAATAAATTGCCTCTTCAAACCCTAAATACACATACTCTGAGTGCTAGAAATCTAAATATTTCAGCCACTGCTTACTGTGATCAAGGATATTCTTGCAAACGAGCAAAGTGTTTTCTTCAGTGTTCTGTATTCCATAGCCTAAACAGATTCTGGTATATGGTCCATTAGAAGCAAAAGAGAGAATGGATGGCTTTGCTGATTTTACGTTTTACTTGATGAACTAAAATAATGAAAATATTTTTATTATGTAGTTTGGTTTTTTTGCAGCTACATCCGTCCCAGACTGACAACCAACTCAGGGGTCTTATTAATACAGTCATCACGTTTGGCCTGGGCTTGCAACTCTGAATATAAAATGGAGACCGTGGTCCTGTACTGCTTCAGGACTTCAGTTCACAGAAACACGATCTGGTTGCTTCAAAACGGGAGTAATTCTGTTGCAGCAGAATCTACCGCGGTCATATAGCTACGACCATACAGTGGAATTTCATACTTCTACTCTTAGTCCCAAAAATTCCATCTTTAGATTAGGTGCTTGGTGAAATGAATGCTTCCATCTCACATATGCATTTAGCTATAATTTTGCTGACTGATTTCAGAAAGGGGGAAGAACCCATTTGAGAAAGGGAGAAAAAATCCCTTTGGACAATAATATGTTTTGACTGTGTTAGTTCTTTTTTCCCCTTTTTTTAATTAAGTAGGCTCCATGCCCCACATGGAGCCCCATGCAGGGCTTAAACTCAACACCCTGAGATCAAGACCCGAGAAGAGATCAAAAGTCAGTGTGACTTAATCAACTGAACCACCCAGGTGTCCCAACTTTGTTAGTTCTTCTTAAGCAGATTGTTAATCATCTCCTCTCTTCTTTTAAGTACAGTTTTCCTATAGTTTGTTTATGTCGATGGCTCTTAACAAAATGATAACATGTTTCCAAAAAGCAAACGGATTTGGAACTCTTTCTCCTTATGTTTATATTAGGCTTTATTTTAAAGGCAAGTGAGACTGCTTCAAATAAAACAACTCCAAGCTTCCAAGAAACAGTTAAGAAGGCAGAGACAAGCAGAAATACCCCTTCACTAACACTCACACGGTTGCCATGGACCTGCATAAGCAGTGGGAGAACACAGAAGCTAACTGGCACAAGGAAAAGATGGAATTACTGGACCAGTTTGACAATGAAAGGAAGGAATGGGAGAGTCAATGGAAAATCATGCAGAAGAAGATAGAAGAGGTACAAACTGATTTGTTTTGAATACACTGAAAGCTCAGAATGAAAATTCTCTTTGAAATTTGTGTTGTATTGAAAGCTGATTCTGTTTTCCTTATTCTACCTAAGAGATGCATGTCTAAATGACATTTACTAGACCAAAAATAGCAGAACCTTATCCAGTTGTATTGAAGGGACTAAGCTTTTTTTTTTTATAGCCCTGCATGAAAATTAAGAACTTAAAACGTCATTCTAAAGTGTATCAATTTATTATTTTGTGCCTAAAGTGCCTTGGTATCAAAAGTGAGTTGTTTTTCTTTGTTTGTTTGTTTGTTTTTGCATGAGTTTTCAAACACAAGGTCCAGGAGGAGAATATAAGAAAAACATAATTGGTGGAACATATATTAGCAAAATTACAATTGGGCATTAAAATACAGATCTTTCCTGAAATGATTTATGAATCATGTCTACTAAACGAAATTACATATTAGATAATTCAGTATAATCAAAAGGAGTGTCCTTATATCAACATGGCAGTGGACATGATATTTATTCTGGCAGAATGTGCCACATTTATTGGCACATTTGTTAGGAAAGGGGTTATGAAAAACAACGTGCCATGACTCTGATACAAATAGTCATTTTATCCCCATTAAACTATCTCTGGCCCTGGAATATTTCCTTTAAGTATTTACATTGATGTATTTTTGAGCTGGTTTCAACTGAAAATTATTTCTACTTATCTTGCATTCTTCTAGTGACATCCATCTTGTCATGTGGTTTGTGCACATTGCCAAAGTGATTCTTTTAACAGACTCCTTGGCCTTTATTCATAGGCAGTAAAAACTGGTGCTTTATGTGTTTATAGTGTAAATATTTTTCTTATTAACACCCATGTAATTGGTTGTGAATAAAATATAAATCAGCACGCTACGAGGAAAAATTTAAAAGAGTAACTATTAAACTGTTCCTATAACAGAACTGAGAAGGCAGGCATGTAGTGTATGATTCGACTGAAACAAGAATCCACCGCTCATACCTCTGTAGTTGGAAAATGTGTTTTGCTTATTCTCTTAACTCCTCTTTATCCAGAGACTAAGGGTGGATCAACAAGGAGATGTCTAAGTCAAATCAGAATCCAAAACTCCAGACAGAAACCTGAATTCATGGGTCATTGTTTCCCAAAGATTTGGAAGACCAGATAATTCTAGCATCCAAGTGGGGCGCCTGGATGGCTCAGTCATTAAGCATCTGCCTTTGGCTCAGGTCATGATCCCAGGGTCCTGGGATCCAGCCCTGCATCGGGCTCCCTGCTCAGTGGGGAGCCTCCTTCTCCCTCTCCCACTCCCCCTGCTTGTGTTCCCTCTCTCGCTGTGTCTCTCTTTGTCAAATAAATAAATAAAATCTTTTAAAAAACATTCTAGCATCCAAGCAAAAAAAATTAAAGGAGTCAGGATTAGTCTAGCCAATTGTTTAAGCCATGTGGCTAAAATAATCTGCTGTCAGGTTAGATATTTTATTGTCAAATAATTATTCTGACAACTCTGTAGATTCCGTCTATGGTAAATATTAGCCTTCTCAATGAGCAGGCCTTAAATGTATTTTAAACATAGGATGATAGTTTACAGAAATACTGTTCTTTCTGCATCAAGGAGATAGAGGGCTGCAATACATTTTCTTCATCTTGGATAGTAGCCATGGTGCTATTTATGTCTTGCTGCCTGACATAGACAGCTCCATTACTGGGAATACGTTTGAATAATGTGCTTACCCAGAATACCCATAGATGATGCTCTTTCATACCTGAATACTAGCATTGTGCTCCCTCTATCATACTAATACATATTTCTTTTCCACTCTCAGCTCTGTAGCCTATAGGAATGTACCTTTAATACATCCGTCTTATAGGCTACAAACGAGGGTAGGAAAATTTGAGGAAAATAGGAGAAAAGTGTTCTCACATGTCACAGAGAATCAAGACATTTTTTAAACTAAAATTAAACATCAACACTCCAAAAAATTATAACATGCTGCAAGCATAATAGACTGTATTTGTTTAACATATATCACTAAGTTGTATGTATTAACTCAGGCACAAGTTATTAAGCCATGTAAAAGAATTGTGGATTCACAAATGTGCACATGTGACTTGGTTCCAAGAGATATCTTCCAGTGAAAGGATCCAGTGTTGAGTGTTAAGATGCTAATGATTCTTTGCTCAGCCACTATCCACAATCATTGCATTTGCTATTGCAAAACCCAGGTGTATATGCTATTGCAAAACCCAGATGTATTTGAAAACTGGGGTAATCCAGATAGAAACCCTAGATAGAGTTCTTAGGTTTCTGGGAATTCTTTTTTTTTTTTTTTTTATCACACTGCAATCTTTTCTGCTTGTTTTGTTCAAATGATCAGAGAACCATAAACAAGTGCTGGGTATGAAGTAACACAGATTTTCTTGTACAAAATAATTTGTTTTCTATCAATAGCATATTATTTGCTTATCCATACCTCACTTAAATCCCAAGAGAATTTAAGATGTATATAAAATTTTACATAAGGTAAAGTATTTCACAACAAAAAAAAATGTTGAGATAAAGACAGGAGGAAGGATCTTATGTGAATTGCATGCAGCAAGTCTATCTTTCTAGTAACTAACATAAAAATTAGCAGATGCATATTTTTCAATATTCAGAAGACAAAGGCAAACCTGTTTCCCAGGAATAGTACTTTTGTCCCTGACTTTGAAAATAAGGCAATTTTGTTTTCACCTATAGCTCCTTAAAAAGAGGACAATGTCACCATAAGCATCCTTAGGTTTAACATGAACTTTTGAGGGTATAATATCTCTCAATGTCAGCCCAAATCATAATGCCCACAATAGCTCATAACAAGTAATTTTATGAGGGCCAACATGATTGCTCCATGGCTGTAATTTGATGCTATCCTGAGATCATCCAATGATAGATGTGTAAGTATCTATGGAAATATATGTACTGTGTAAACTTCAGGCACCAACTATGCCTAGTGCTTCTCTCTGAGATTTGGGCAAATATTGAACGACAATAAATCTGTTGTTATACTCCTTGAATAATAGATGTGGTGTAGATATATGTTGTGGCCGTAAAATGTAGTCATTTGCTTAAATAGTTATCCGACAGACTCCTTTGAAATTTGCCAAGCTTTCCCACAGCTCAAGCCTAAAGAGAAAGGCCACTTACTTCCTCTATTTAGGGGTGAGTTGTGTGAGTGCCTGGAGGTAAAACTAAACTCTCATCAAGAAATAATTTGGGATCCACTTTAACATAGACTAATACATGATGGAAGCCTTAGAGTTCTAATACCACATAGGACAGGGTCACATGTGTTTTAATCAGGATGAGAAATCTTTTTTGAAAAAAAAAATCTCTTTTTAAAAATAAATCTCAGTAATACCTAGCAATACGTCAGTAACACCAGCATAACTTCCAAAGGAAACATCCTTTGGTTGCACAATGTCCACTGGGGGAATGGAATGAACTAGCATACTATATGATACTGTCAACTATTTAGACACTTGAATGTTGGCATGCAAGTGGAATCACATATTTTTAAAACATCACTTTAATATCAGTTAAACTCTTGCTTTTCTCTGAAAGCAATTAGAGAGCATGACCAGTAATTGATTCAGGACGTTCCAACTTTGTAACAGTGCTTCTGCATCATTATGACATGTTTCTATAGGAGGAGGTTTATTTTTGAATGAGTTTGATTTCTACATAGAGGTATAAAAATTACCCTCCATAGTTTGACCTACTAAGAGTAGTCCTTATGGTTCATCAGAGTTGTTCTGGCTGATCAGATTTTAGAGGCATGAGCGTTAATACCCCAGGGTACTTAGTATATCATGATATGGCAAAGAGAACTCAAAATAGTGTGCTTCGTATTCAAAATGTTGACAAAGTAAATTAGGGGGAGAAAAAGTTTTCTCTTCATTTTCTTTGCAGCTTTGCCATGAAGTAAAGCTTCGGAGGAAAATCAACGTGAATGAACGTGCTAAGATCATCAGTCATGATCGTGAGAAAGCAATTCAAGATCAAGTGCTGGAATCTTCTCCAAATTACCCCAGTTCAGGACGATGTGAATTTACAAGGATGAATTACCGGGATGGTCTGGAAAAAGAAAATAAAACAGAGCAGCGCTTACTCTGTGAAGGAAATGAAATGTGTAAGGAACAAAAAGCAACAAAAAAATCAAAAGTAGGGTTTATGGATCCTTTGGCCACAGATAACCAAAGAGAATGTGAGGCGTGCCCTGGTCTGAGGACTTTGAGGGAAGAGGGCAGGAGCTGCTCTGGGGCCCTCAACTTGGTAAGTAAGATTGTGATTGGCCTAGAACTGTTTCTACAGAAATATTTACATTTCAAAGCGCTAACATACTATTGCTTATATGTATAAAGGCTCTTGAAGAACTTGCCAAAGTTAGTGAAGAATTATGCAGCTTTCAAGAGGAAATCCGAAAGCGGTCTAACCACAGAAGGTGGGCTGGTATATCTATGATTATTTTATATCAGAAAATCAAGAGAAATATTGTTTTCAGTGAATGAATCCAAACTGCCTCCTCTTTATATTTGGTTAGTGTGAATTAACAATGAGTTATTAAAATCTGTTATCTTAGATAGGGGATAAAGACTTTAATTGAATATTTCTCTGTTTGCTAATTCCTAAGCCAAATCTTCTCATTCTCTCCATAATTTGACTGTGAGGAATACTGCACTCTTTTGGTGTTTGGTTAAGGAACACTTTCCAGAACAAAGTAACAAGTACCTTCTAAATGTAGTTCTTTTTAATTTTGAGTGGCCAGTGGACGAGTACACAGCAAGGCTAATCCAGTTAAATATATCTTAAGATTTAACAATGTGGAGTTTTAATTATATAATGATGTTCTACTGAAGTAATTTATACCTAAGAGTCATTTATTTCTCTACATTTATTATGTATTTAATGGAAGCATACATAATTCTTAGAACAAAATATTCTAAATATGTATACACACATATACAATGATATTTAAAAAATGCTGTTTCCGTTTAGAAGCACCTATATAACTGTAAAAGTAAGTTTTCACCAAATTAAAAAATAAATTGGAATTCTCTGCAAGGTAAGTAAAAATGGATTGTTCTAGGATCAAGATATTTCTCCTAATGAGGGGTGTGTCCCTCTTAGAATCAGTAGCAGTGTGTACCCTTATCGCTCTTTAGCTCTTAGGAGGCTCTGAAAGAATTTTTGTATTGACTTCCAATAGACTTTTTTATTCAACTATATTTTATATGTAACTTTACCCTCTACCTGCCCATTTTGCTTTTGCCTACCATTCTCTATTATTGAGAATGATTATCTACACTTTATTGCATTCTATCTTGTAACATTTTACAAGCTGAAGAGATATATAAATATGATTTATATTTATCAGTATGATCAATTTAATTTGTGAATTTATATTGTTGCTTTATTTAGGTTTTTTTGTTTTGATTGAACTTAGAAAAGACTCACTTGCCAATTTTCTTTTACAAACCACAGCTGGTATAAAGTTCTCCTTGTTATTCCATACACTTTAGAAAAAAGTTCAAAATCCTTAGTTTGTAATTCAAATACATTACAATTTAACCTAATGTTTCTTTCATCATTCCCACTCTGCTTTATGATCCAGCGATACCAAAGTACTCTCTATTCCTTGAAGAGCCCACTATTTTTATTGTGGCTCACTTTGCCTATATGCCCTTTACTCATCCAAAAAATTCTTACTTTTGTTTCAAGCCCAAATGGCACATTCCATTTGGTATTACTCATGTTTCACTGAGCTTGTATTCAGATTTTTGTCATACTTCTTAGCTTAGAATGTCATTTCAAATTCAAGAGAAGGAAGTTGAGCTCACATGACATAATGACTAGGCGTTCAGTAGGTAGAGCAGAGGTGAAGGCAATGGTAGGAGAGAACTTGGAGAAATGGGAATGCCAGTGGCAGACACCCAAGAGACTACACAGTCTAGTCTGAGTGGAAGAGACAGTTTGGGAATATAATGGAAAGATAGCTTGGGTCAGAGCATGTAGACCATGAATGTACCACTGAGAAGTGAGCTTTATCCTACAGGAAAAAGGACTTGGAGGTTTTGACTAGAGAACTTATAGGAAAATGCTGTTTGAGGAAGTTGGGAGTCCTTTTCTTATTGCAGACATTCATTGCTTAAGCCATGGTTTCTTTTGAGAACTTGTCCTAAATAAAATTATCACTAATATATCATGTTTTATAACTGTTTAGGATGAAGTCAGATTCTTTTCTTCAGGAAATGCCAAATGTAATGAATATGCCTCACAGAGACCGCATGATCAACCATGGCCAGGGCATTCTTCCCATCGATTTAGAAAAAGAAAAGCAGAAAAATAGAAGGAATCTAAGCACCACTGTGCTCCAAAGCAACTCTAGGAAAACATGTGAACTTGATACAATTAATCTGCAAAGAAATGAAATTCCACCACTTCCACCTCCAAGAAGCACATCTCGAAGTTTTCCCAGCTTATATTCTGAACAAGCTCATGAAAGTTTGAAGGGAAGTTTAGACCACAATAGCCAGGTGGCCCAGGAGGGTCAAGCGGAAAGGAACTGCAGTCCTGATTTCCTTTGGAGGCACAATGAGATGCCTATGCTGTGTCTAGGTGAAGGGAAGACTTTGAAAGATGGTATCACGTTTCCTTCTTTGGCACCCAAAGCCAAAATAGATAACAAGCCTCCATGTAATGAAAATGTTGGACTTAGCATGTGGTCGTATGACACTGGGATCAGTGCAAAAAATAGTCCCTCTCCATTGTGGTTTCAGAAAACCTGCTCGACTCCCAATAAGCCACAGTGTGAAAAGATGATTCCAGATCACCCTACTAAATCTCATCCTGATCTTCATATAAGCAGTGACTATAGCTCCTCGGTGACAGAGAGCAATGGCCCACTTAAAAGTTTCAGTTGTGGTTTTAAGAGGACAACTAGGAATGAAAAACTGGCAGCAAAGACTGATGAATTTAACAGAATCGTATTTAGAACAGATAGAAATTGTCAGGCAATACAGCAAAATCAGAGCTACTCAGAATCATCTGAAGATTGTAAACCCTGTGAGACCTTAACTACTCATGCAGATAACATATCAGAAAATGATAATGTGTCTGACATTCTGAAAACCAGTGCCCACGTGCCTGTGCCCAGAGAAAATGTACCTGACAATCCCACCAAAATACCCACAACAGGCCTAGTCAGACAAATGCAGGAACACATGAGCCCCAGCAGTTACCGGAGTATGCTCCAAGAGCATGACTGGAGACCCAGTAATTTGTCTGGCCGGCCAAGATCAGCGGATCCTAGGTCAAATTATGGTGTTGTGGAAAAGCTGCTGAAAACCTATGAGACATCAACAGGGTCTGCATTGCAAAATTCTAAATGCTTCCAGGATAACTGGACCAGATGTAATTCTGATGTCAGCAGTGGACCCACATTAAGTCAGCAGTTAGAAAGACTTCAGTTAGAACAAGAGTTTCAGCAAAAGCCAGCTATGTGTGGAGCACAGCAAGTAAAGCGAGGAGTAGATTGGAGAAAGATAACAGAGGTGAGAAAGTGATTAATGTATGTTGGGAGAACTACATCCATACGTAGCAGTGGCTCAGAGTTCAGTCGATTGCCCATATGTAAATAGAATGGAGGCACATATTTTGGCATCTTCTTAACTTCTCGACCCTTTATTTGTGACTAAGTGTAAACCTTAGGATTGTAACTCAATATGAACTTCTTAAAATACAGTTTTTTAAGATTGGGAATAGTACATTATAACTTCTTTAAAATTCTGAAATGGGACAACACAAATAAAATAAATGGACTCAAGAACCTCAAGAAGGTCCAATGTTTGCTGTAAGTTTCTTTCTTGAAAAAACATTCCAAATGCACATTTATTGGTTTATAGAGTTTTATTCTTTTAGTGTTTATATTTTAAAAAGAGTATTGGAAATATTTTAAAAATAATTTCTTGCACTTTTCAGTTGTTGGCTATGATTGGTTCAGTCATTCCCAGCATTTGATTCATATTTTTTCTCATGGGATTAGTCACATGGATGTGACTATGGGTCTAACACATCATAAAATAATGCCTCATAGAGGTCTCTTATTTGTGGAGCAGAAAGGCAGTACATGGAAATAAAATGATATTATAGCCTAAAAATGTTTAAGGTCATTCTTATTTGTGTAAATTCCTAACATGAAAGTTGTCCCCCCCAAAAAATAAACTGTTATTCTTTTTTTGTTCCAGTCTGTTTGCAAAAGAATATAGTTTTCTTTAGCTATAGGAGGAAAAGATGTTGAAGAGATTGGTATTTACAACAAAAACTATCCAACAATCCCTTTTTATGCATAATTTACAAAAAGTTACATGGTGACAGATTGTTATAATTAGCTAATATTTCAAAAAATCATACTTTTGCAAAATGCAGTGTGTTTGCAGTGTAGTTTTAAGCTATGCAGGAGGTTGCCTCCTTCTGGTGTAAAAATTATTTTTATGTGGCTTTCAACCCCATAAAAATACCAGTTTTTATCCATTTTACCAGAAACCTTGCCTGTTTGGACAAGGTACAAATAATTACCCTGGTTTTGTATTTCTCCATTTTTTAGTTGAGTCCATAAATACGTGGGGAGCCCTGTAAGCTTCGGATGGCAAATGGAAATGTATAAAATAACCAGTTAAATATTCATCAGCTACATTTTTTGCATTGGTTGGGGGTTTGGGAGGGGCCCTCTATGGTAGATTTTTAAGAGTAGTTCTTCATCCCCTCCCCCAACCTGCTGCCAGAGCAAATCTAAAAAAGTAAGATTCCAAAGCGAGAAAAATAAATTGCAGGTTATAGTCATAGAAATAGAGGCCATCTTACTACCCATCTGGGATGAAAGAGCATAGGCTTTGTTAAGAAAGTCAATAATAATACTGGTGTAAAATGTGTGGCGGAAACTTTTTAATTTTTTTTTTAACTGCAAGTGTCTAAGAATGTTTTTCTTCCATTAAAACAGAAAGAAAGAAAAGAAAGAAGACATGAAAGAAAAGGAAGGGACAGGAAGGAAAAGGTTTTAAGTCATCCGATGATGCCCAATATAGATAATGATTCTGTATTAGTAATTACAATGAAGTTATATTTTGAAGTATTTTAGTGATAATTTTGAAACTTTTGAGAAATAGTTATAGTGGTTCTTGGTGGGGAAAAAAGATAGCATCAGACAAATCATTTGGTGATCTGTGTGCCTTTTGCTTATGACCTCTGAAAGTGCCAATAACTTGACATAAATGAGCATGGTTTCTTTTATAAATTATTATCTTTTTGTATCTTTTGTATCTATTATACATCCTAGTATCCCACTAAGAAACATCTATAATTCCATCATTAAAGTTATCTAACAGAAACTTTTGAATCCTGAACTCATAATTAGTTGTAAAAAGAGATCAGTTGTATTAAAATTTGGCACTGTGAAAAGATCTACACGATTATCAAATGCCATATTCCTTATTAAAAGTGAGTTGCTTTTGATTCAAGACCACAAATATTAGACAATTACCTTCTTCAGTTATCCATGCTTCTACTTGCTTGTAAATATGCTAATACATTAACCTTGTAGGTGGGATCCGTAATATATATTCAGCCCATTGTTGGTGCCTGTATAGTGAAATGGATGTCTTCCTTTGTCTCTTAGGAAGCCATGGCAGTGAAATCCTCACATGGAAAAGGGTTTTCCCGACCTGCTAGACCAGCAAATCGCCGTCTCCCATCTAGATGGGCCTCGAGATCTCCATCAGCACCCCCTGCCTTGCGGAGAACTGCCCCCAGCTATACCATTTCTCTGCGATCTGCAGCGTCGATGGTCTGAGTCCCTGGCCTGGATTGCAAGATGACAAAAGTCCTAATTGCCAAACAGAGCATTCGGAGTGTTTACAGCCAATCCTGTCTCTTCTCTGTCTTTCAAGATCACTGGGACAAACAATTTAAATCTTAACTTCTCATCAGTCTTCAGTGTTTTTAATCTATGGAATAATTATCTTCCTGTATTTTGATTTCTTAGATCAGAATTTCTTAATGCCATCCTCATTAATTTGCCAATATGATTTAAGTTGAAACAGTGTACTATATTGTATATTCTAACTTTCTTGCAAGTGGCAGAAAGCAAGGTTATGTGCATGGCCATGTGTTTGTAGATGCATGTGTTGAAATAGGAAGTATCCTAGTATGTATTTAGATAAGAAAAACGTATGTGCTAGTGTTGACTTTGAAATTATAACATGTAAACCTATGTATCTTTCTGTTTATTTAAAATTTTTGAAAATATACAGTACTATTTATATTTTGTATACCTTTTAATAGGTATCCACTTAAGGCATTTGAGGTACATATATTAACTAACCACTTTCTTGACCCCAACTACATTGAAAAATAAGAATTGTACACATTAATAACATTTGGTAGATTTCTAAATACCACTCATAGTTTCTTAACCGATGTAAGGATGGACTAATATCATTAATCTCCTTGTTTACTCTCTTAAATAAATAAAATTGTCACAGGTTTAATAGTTCAGGCTTGTAAAGCAAACATAAAATGTTCACAAAATCTTTTGTATATCATTCGGTAGTCTATTATGGCTTTAACTGAGTACTTGATCCCCAGAGCCATATCGTGAGACTGCCTTAGAAACAACAGGACTTAAAAATGAACTTACTTGGAATCCTTAAATAGGATATGAAAAGAAATTCAGTTATGTTGAATTCTACTTTTTTGTTAAATTGTATAGATTTTAGTTAAGCTCCTTTATTTGAAGTCATATTTAGCGGTAAGTCATTTCCTTTTTCTTTTTTCTAACTTTTCCCTAAAATTAGTAGGTAAAAAATTGATTCACTTTTTTTATTAACAAGAAAGATTAGGAATGATATTTGAGAGCTGAATTATAATATATTTCTTATAGTGTGCTACATAAAAAAAGCCTTAAACTAAACTTTGGCATCCATGAGTAGCATAAGGAACAGAAATGTGTATTTTGGCCACAGTTTGCATCCAGTGAACACATAAGATCTATGTTGAGACTGAAGGAAGTATGAATGTTGAGGTGCTTGGAATTTTACATGGAAGATCTTAGAAGCAACTTTGCTCTCCATTGTCTCTCTATAAAACCAACTTTGGTATTAGATATGAATTCTATTTAAGTTTTTCTTTTACTACCAGAAAGGTTAAAAAAGTCTAGTGACATAAGTATTCAAAGACCTTCTTCTTATGATATATTCTAACAATTAAGAAAAATTCATTGCATTATACATCATGACCTGAGGTAAAGTAAATAATTTCCAAATCCCAGACTGCCTTAAAAGGCTCGAGACTGTTTGTTGTATGGTGATAGACAGATTCATGCTTCCCAATAAGGAAAGTTTATAGGAGTTGAGATGAATTAAACTTCTAGAATATGAAGTTGGAGCAAATGATAAGGAAGGGCTAGAGATCCACTCTTTTCTGGAATAGGTTGAGGAGAATAGGTATAAACTCTTTAGATATTTGGTAGAATTTGCCAGTGAAGCCATCTGGTCCTGGACTTCTGTTTGTTGGGAGTTTTCTGGTTACTGATTCAATTTTTTTGCTGGTAATTGGTCTGTTCAAATTTTCTATTTCTTCCTATTTCAGTTTTGGTAGGTTATATGTTTCTGGGAATTTGTCCCTTTCTTCTAGATTGTCCAGTTTGTTGGCATATAGTTTTTCATAATATTCTCTTATAATTGTTTCTATTTCTGTGGTGTTTAGATCCACTCTTTTAATTCTTGTTTCTTTCAGGAATATCCTTTTCCATAGGAAACCTATCAGAGAAAAGTAACCTAGACACCAAGTCATGTCACTTATATTATATGCTTTTCATCTAGAAGGTTGGGGAGGAAAGGGAAGTGGTAGCCTGTGGCATACAATGATGGTCCTGTTAGGAAGATGCTGCTATGTGGTAGTCTGTGGCATAACCGTGATGGACCCATTAGGAAGGTGCTGCTATGTTACATTGGAGAGACTGCCCAAGAACTGGGCAACATACCTGCTCCCCTCCATCACTATATCCCAGGTAGTCTGATGGGGCTCTATGCTTCCTACCTTTAACTACAAGTCAAAATATTGAGGATCTCTTTTCAAAAATTTGATTCCTGACCTCATCCCATAATTACTAAAGCAGAATTTCCAGGAGTACAGAGGGGGATCTGGAGTCTAATAAAACAATAACAACAACAAAAAGAAAGCAAAATATTTGATGATTAGAGAGATTTGGAAGCAGTGACATTGATTGATACTCAAATAGTTGGGCACCATTGGGTAGTCATGTTACTTCCCTGGGACTTGCTTTTGTTACCTGTAAAAGAAAAGGGTTATATTATCAGGCATACAATTTTTAAGTCACCTTTTCTATTACTACTTGAATGAAACAGTGGGACACATTTTATGGGACACATTTTAACTTCTTCCTATGTTGATTAAAATCATAGAATATTAGAGTTGAAAAGAAACTTAGTACCTAGTCCAACTACTTGATTGTAAAGACGAGGAAACTAAAACAAAGGTTATTGAAATATTCTGTTTTCTCTTTTAAAATATTTTATAATTTTTTATGGGAAAACCTATCAGGTAAATGGAAATTATCCTTCAAAGATATTTTTTTATGTATTGTGATTTTTAACTGGTAGTTTTTCTACTTTGGATGGCTATTTTCTTCCCAACAACATACCCTTTATTATGCCATCATTGCTGGATTTAAGACATTTGTAAACATTTCAGAAATATTTGATTAGAAACACTTGTATTAATAGAAGTTTTGCTGAGCAGACTTTTTGGGGGAAAACTCCTATATTATTTCAACTGAGGAGTCTGATCTCAGAAAGGAATAAGAACAAGGCAGAAAAAGTGCTTGAGTTTTTGTGCGTGTGTGCGCACACAACACTTGCACGAGTTCTCTATGTTGCCTTATCACCAAAGCCAAATATAAGTTATGTTTGCATAATTCACTTATCAAAAATTAACCTTAACTTTCATTTGTTTTTACATAGACAATGAAGATGATTAGATACTATCATGCATGATTTACCTCTACAGAGAGAATGTAGTCAGACTCCATGTCATCCTGAGAAAATATCTGGACCTAAGATAGAGAATCTGCTTCCCTGCAGAGATTTTTAAAATTATTTTTAGACATATTTGCTGACAAATAACTACTTGATATTAGAATCTCCTTCAGTGATTGGAAGTTACCGAATAAAATAGGTGTGGAGACACCTGCTGTGGCATGTGTGTGCATTGAGAATATTCTGATTTTCCTCCTTTTCTATAGCGATCTCCAGGAAAGCTGAAAGTTTTATGAAATCTAAACTCAAATATGTCCACAGTTCGGCCTAGCTTCTCCTAAAATATCTCTACATAATAAAATCTAAAAGCCTGCATGAATTCTTGCACCCAGCCACACATAACGCCAAATAGCTTCTCATACCCTGATAACCACTCTGCCCACTTAAACCGTTTATTGAATCTGATTAATTTTTGTTTGAAAAAAGGATACTCCTCTGAAATTTGCCTTTATATGTGAAGTGAGTGTAATTATTTTAGGTAGGTTCAGATTTCTATTATAATATTATTTAGCTTCATATTCTGCATGTTTCTTCTTAAGTAGCAAGTATCTTTATTAGAATGTACAACTATAACTTACTTGTTTAATATAGCCCGGAATATGCTCTTTCAAAAAATGCGCTTCATTTAGTAAAAAATTAAAACAAACAAAAAACAAAAGTTGGGGTGGGCAGCTTTCAAGCAAGTGTCTACTCAACAATTTTTACTGTAGGAATTTTTCTTATCATAGAAAATATTTTTCATTCCAGTGGGAAAAAGTCAAAAGTCTTAAAATCTGATACATATTACAATGATCTTTTGAATCTGACATGTACGATTGGCAAATTCTGGAAAAAAATATTCTGCTTATATGAAGTTATGATGGAGTCTAGAAATAGAGAAGAGTCTAGAATAGGAAGGACCATAAAAGTCATGCAGAACAATCTCATGGAGAGGAGAGAAACCTGAAACTCAGAGGTGTGTAAGACTGCCAGGTTTACAAGGATGGGCACCACGGTAGGCTCCAACACCACTGTCTTGCCTCCCTGTATGCCTGTGTGCATCTAAGATTTGATGGTTTGCAATGCACACTTCTATTCCTTGACTTGTTGACTTCTTCCAACAAACTTCAAGGCAGACTTTGTGATTTCTAATTACAGATGGAAAAATTAAATAACCAAGATAATAAATATTTCTCAAGAGAATACTGAGAAATAGGTGGTTCTACAGACTCCTCATTCTGGTTCTTTTCCAAAAAAGAGGAAGAGGAAGCAAAGAGTGAACAATTCTTTTTCACTTACACTTTATGCATGACCAGTTGTTTATTTTGATTTCGTTGAGTTTCTCTTTTTTTGTCTATTAAATTAGCAGTTTTTTATTAATGAAAATTCACAATGTTGAAATATAAATTCATGACCATCACAGGTGATGGTGTAATTGGCATATGTAGCAAGAACTTTTTAAAGGTTCTATGCTTTTTTTTTATTATGTTAAGTTAATCACCATACATTACATCATTAGTTTTTGATGTAGTGTTCCATGATTCATTGTTTGCGTATAACACCCAGTGCTCCATGGAGAACATGCCCTCCTTAATACCCATCACCAGGCTAACCCACCCATATATGTTAAAAAAAAAAGTTTCTCTTAATTTTGGTTTTCAATCTTCTTAACCAACGTTCATCATGATTTATGTGGTTTCAAAAGATAGTATTAAATAAGTCATGAGGAAGGCTCACTTTATCAAAATATGTTTCA